GGGCCTCTTGAGGGCCTCTTGGGTCTCCTGGGGGCCTCTTGGGGCGGGAGGCTCAGATTTTCGGTGCGTGTTGCCTCTCTTGGGCCCCATGTGGGGCCGTCTTGGGGCCCTCTTGGGCCGTCTTGGGCGCCTCTTGGGCCGTCTTGGGGCGCTCTTAGGCTTTGGAGGCCTCTTGGATCGTTTTGGGATGGTCTTGGGGGCCTCGTGGGCCGTCTTGGAGCGTCGGAAAGCCGAAAAGGGCGAGAACGCCACAGTCCTTGAAAAAACGCAAGGACCACCCATGATGTTTGCCTTGCGCGGCCCTCTTGCGAGGCCTCTTGGAGGTCTCTTGGAAGCCTCTGGCATCTTGAGGATATCTTGGGCGTCTTCGAGCGACCGTTCGGCGACTTGGGGCCCTCTTGGACCGTCTCGGGAGGCTCTTGGGCCGTCATGGAGGCCTCGGCGCCTCCCCAGGGAGGCGCTAGGGTTGCCCAGGGACCCCCCCCCAGGAGTACGGCCGGTGCGCGCAACGGGGCGCGGCCCGGAGGGGGCAGGGCCCCTTGGAAGAGTACAGAATCCCCACCAGGCAGCATTTGGCATTCTGCTACGCCGTATTTCAGGAGGGGAAAAAACACAGACACAATTCATCGTCGATTCCCAAGAAAATATGGGAAAATATGGGAAGTGGGGGGGGAGACAGAAACCCAGAAAATAAAGGAGAATATGGGGAATGTTTTTTTTGAGTCTACCTATACGACCACCCTTTGGGTGATAAGGAGGTTCGGGGGGGGGGAGGAACCAACGTCTCACTCGATCTGTCTCACTATCGGTCTCACTATCGATCTCACTATCGGTCTCGATCGATTGATCACACTCGATCGATCTCACAATCGATCTCACTGGACCTATTTCATTCGATCGATCTTACAATCGATCTGACTATCGATCTCACAATCGATCTCGCTATCAATCTCACTATCGATCTCACAATCGATCTCAAATTCGGTCTCACTATCGATCGCACAATCGATGTCACAATCGATCTCGCAATCAACGTCATCATCATCAACATCATCGTCATCAACGTCATCAACATCATCATCACCATCATCAGCATCATCATCATCAGGACACCATCATCATCATCATCATCATCATCATCATCATCATCATCATCATCATCATCATCATCATCATCATCATCATCATCATCATCACCACCATCATCATCATCATCATCATCATCATCATCATCACCTCATCACCATCATCATCAACATCATCACCATCATCATCATCAGCAACAGCATCATCATCACCATTTTCGGGACACCACCATCGTCACCATCAGCATCATCAACATCATCATCATCATCGGGACACCATCATCATCATCCTCATCAGCATCATCGGAAGACCACCACCATCATCATCGTATCACCATCATGAACAACATCATCAACATCATCATCATCGGGACACCATTCTCATCGGCAACATCATCATCATCAACATCATCATCGGGACACCATCATCATCGTCACCACCATCATCATCACCATCATCATCATCGGGACACCATCATTATCATCAACTCATACTCATCATCATCACCATCATCGGGCCACCATCATCAAAGTCAGCATCATCACCTCATTATCATCCTCATCATCAACATCATCATCGGGACACCATCGTCATCATCATCATCATAAACATCATCATCATCATCGGGACACCATCATCATCACCATCATCGTAACAGCATCATCATCAACATCATCATCATCATCATCATCGGGACACCATCATCATCTGCATCATCATCATCCTCATCATCATCACCATCATCATCATCATCATCATATCATCGTCATCCCATCATCATCATCATCAACATCATCATGATCAACAATATCATCACCATCGGGGGACACCATCATCATCGCCACCATCATCATCAACATCTTCCACATCGTCATCATCATCGGGACACCATCATCATCACCACTATCACCATCATCATCATCATCATCATCATCATCGACATCATCATCATCGACATCATCATCATCATCACCATCATCATCATCATCATCATCATCATCATCATCATCATCATCATCATCATCATCATCATCATCGGGACACCGACGGGACACCGGCGGGAAAACGGCGGGACACCGCGGGCCACTGGCCCCCGGAAAGGAGACATTTGGTCCGGCCGCGCCTCAGCCGGAGGCGGGACACCGGCGGGACACCGCGGGCCACCGGCCCCCGGAGAGGAAATATTTGGTCCGGCCGCGCCTCAGCCGGAGGAGACTTTCTTCTCGCCCGCCCACGCAGCTTCGCCCGCACGCACGGCATGCACGAACACGAAACCGAAACCGTTTTCCCGGTAGGGGGGCTATCCGTTCCACTCCGATCTCACCCCTTCACCCCCGATTTATTTGTGTGTCCCAGTTCCCCTTCATTATTGTGCCAGGGGTTACGGCGGCTGAGTAAAAGGGAACTTCCAGGAGGGGAAGAGGGGAGGTGGAAGAGGAAAGTGCCTGAACCACTCACGCCCAGATGGCTGGTGGAATTTGCCGAATGGCGGCAGGCTCATCGTTTATGCATGTGGTTTTGATCATTGACGCTTCAGGCATCCCCACCAGTCGATCCAGAGCACGCGTTGCGGCCTCGGCCAGAGAGCTATCCTTCTCCAGGGGGACCTCGCGATGGCGCGAAGATGACCACGCGTCGCGCACTACGGGGCGCAGCGCGCGAAGTTGAGCGATCTAGGATCAAGGAACAATGCAAGACCATCTTCGATCTTGTGCGCTCTCTCCGCTCGCGCCCCATGACCCGTCCATACCCACGGGGGGGCTTCCCCCGACGGAGCGGGTCGACCCTCTGGCCGACTCTTCCCGCAGAGCCGCCGTGCGATGGGTCCCGTCCTGCCTCGACTGGCCTCCCACGGCACCACGGAAGCGTTCGCGCGCACACCCACGCACGTATCATTTAGCACAGCGACGAGGCGGAGAAAGCGCAGCACACACACACACACACACCTCGCAGACGTGCCCCCGTAGGGAGCTCTACCTGCGGCCCGAGCGAGGGTGTCTGCTTGCGGGCCCACGCCCAAGTTGACGGACCCATCGCCAAGCTCGGGGCCCCCGAGAGAGCTCCACCGACGGCCCCAGTGGGAGCGCCCGCATGCGGGCCAGTGCCCGTGTCAGCAAGATCCCCCGTGCGGATCGTGCCTCCGTACCTGGGGAGCGTCCGCATGCGCTCCCACGCCCACTTCGGCACGCGGGTTGTGTCTCCAGGAGGAGCGCCATTCCACGGCCCCGTGGAGAGCTCGGGGGCCCACGTCAGCTTCGGAGAGCCCCTCTGGCGGATGGTGCCCCCACAGAGAGAGAGCTTACCTAGCGCGCCTCTGCGGCCTGCTCCGCAGCCCCCGATCCGCGCTGCCCAGAGCTTCCCGCCTCCCCTCGGCGCGCAGGATAGGAGGAGAGGGCTAGGCTTATGATGTTCCAACCTACTATTGCCTTGATCACCCAAGAGAATTTCGAGCACCAGTAACAAAAAGTACCGACACTCGAGGGTTTTCACGTGTCGGGCCATGGGAGGCACTCGTCCGACATTGTTTCGACAACGTTTCGACAACTCTCTCGACACTTGTCCGGGCGCTCGAACTTCTTTCTGGGCTGTGGTCCTCAAGTGCGATGGGAGCAACACACAGTCAACCCGCATAGTAAGGATGGGCAACCTTCCCAAGGGTACCCCTGCACCCTTGCCTCCTCGGTCCATCCTTGGCCGCTTTCGCTGGCCGCGCCCCGCTCGCAAGGTGTCGACATGGCCTTCCAAGGCCCTTGCATCAAGGGCGTAAGAAACGCGGTTTGTGAGGCGCTGTGCGCTGAACCTCCTGTGGGCTGACAGTGGGAGCTCCCAGGAGGTTGACTGACCACGCACTTGTAACCCAGGGTAGGGGCGTTTTGTCATCCCTCCACTTGCACCCTTACCGCGCATCCTTACTATGCTCATTGACTGTAAGGCCGGGCCCTGCGCTGCCCGGCCGCACAGGGCATGGGCCCTTCGCCGAGGCGGCGCTGGAGCCACGCACACGGGCCACAACGCTGCGTCGTGCGGGGTCGATCGGCGGCAGGCCTCCTCCTCCCCCTCCTCCTCCTCCTCCCCCTCCTCCCCTCCCCCTCCTCCTCCTCTTCCTCCTCCCCCTCCTCCCCTCCTCCTCCTCCTCCTCCTCCTCCTCCTCCTCCTCCTCCTCCCCCTCCTCCTCCTCCCCCTCCTCCTCCTCCTCCTCCTCCTCCTCCTCCTCCTCCTCCTCCTCTGAGCCTTCCCTGAAGACGCAGAAGACCTCTCAGAAGGCCGGAGGGCTACCGAGGAGTCACGCTGCCTTCTGAGGAGGCCTGCTCCTTCTCGCTTCCCCCCCTCGCTCGGCGCCGAGGCAGGGTTCACCCGCGTTTCTCTCCTTGTATTGGCGGCAGGTGGAAGGAGCCGTAGAAGTTCCCCGGGCGGTCGACAGCGTGTCGCACCAGCGAGGCTCCTTTCGGCGACCACAGAAGGTGGCAGATGTCATGTGCGGGGCAGGGGTGAGTGAACGACAGCCACCAACATCAGGCGCAGCTCTCAATGTCGCAAGCACTGCGTGGTGCACCAGTCGACGTGCGGTGTTGTGCCTCCTGGTTGCCCCGGTGGGGCTCGCTTCGAGCTTCTGGCCGGCAGGCGCCCCAGGGCGTGGCCAGGGATATCCGAGGGAGGAGCAGGCGGAGGAGGAGACGGACCAAGGGAAGGACTGGGAGAAGGCCGTGGGAGCGACCAGGAGAAAGACCGGCAGGAGAGCCCGAAGAGGGGCCAGAAGAAGGACCAGGAGAAGAGGGAGAAGGAGGGGAGAGAGGGAGAGGAGAGAGGGAGGGAGGAAGAAGGGCGGAGGTTGGACGGTGGATTGAGGAGGAGGAGGAGGAAGAGGAGGAGGAGGAGGAGGAGGAGGAGGAGGAGGAGGAGGAAGGCGCGCCAAGGAGAAATTGGTTGAGCGGTGCGAGAACAGGTGGACACTGCAGGCGTGCTTGTCTTGCCTTCTTGGTGACTGTGCACCTTTGCACGTCCAGCCATGCCATGCCGTCCGATGGTTCAAGCACAGAGTTGCCTCGTGGAAGCGGGTCCTTGAAAGATGTTGTGCAGTGGAGGCTGGGCATCACCACTCACCAAACGACCCCAACCCAACCCGAAGGCCTCAATTTGCCCTCCATTTCCAGTGGGGGGGGGTCGGGGAACATTGTAAAAACACATGGAACCCGTACCCCCCCCCAACCCGAAATTCGGGTCAAATTCGGGTCTTCGGGTTGGGTTGGGGTGGTCTGATAGGTCGTCAGGGCAGAGGGGTTGCGTCAGAGTCTGATGGGCGATTGGGTAGGGGCATTCTTGGCGTCGCGCTTGCTACGAGCCACGCCGCACTGAGAGGCCTTGAGTTTGGAGGCCCAGCCATCCACTCACGGAGCCGAGGTTCCACTGCGACCTCCGCGTAGGGACGGCCTCCGGGCCGATGTGCACGCCGGTCCAGTTCAGTCTAGTCTGAAGTCGGGCCTGTCCCTCTACGGGAGGAACATTCAAAAATAGTCACAAAATCGTTTGGGGACGATTTTTTAGATTGTCCGGCATTTTTGCTATATTGTTGGGCATGTTTGATTTTTCGTCAAATCCGCCTGTAGGGGGACACGCCTGACATAAGCTTAGGGACGGCCTCCGGGCCGATTTGCACGCCAGTCCAGTTCAGTCTAATCCAGCCATCCGCATATAGTCACAGGTCAGTTTGCCTTTCTCAAGCAGCAGCGCGGCAGTAGCATTGTCAGCAAGCACGTAATCTGGCGAACGCATGGCAAGGTGGACATGGTCTATCCCAGCGTCAAGTCGGGCTGCCACAACTCCAGCACGGAGGTGCTTGCGAGCGCGTGTTCCAGCTTGAGATGCCTTGAGTCAGTAGCTCCATGATACGCTTATGCATCTGTGAGGGTGTGATGTGGTTCTTCGAGCTTGCGTTCAAACTCAATGCATACTGATTGTGTGGCCCAAGCCTGTGATGCTCTGGAGGAACACGTTGTCGCACATAATACGTTGAGATGCTCACTGAATTCAGATGCACGCGCGCTGTTAATTGTGATTCGCGGTGTTAGTGCTGCCAGAACTTGTTGTATAGGGGATGTTGGTGTATCCAGTCAGGCTGTCGAGCGTTTCCGCCTCCGCGCTGGCCTGTCTGTGTAAGCGTGTTTGTGTGTGTGTGTGTGTCTGTGTGTGTCTGTGTGTGGCGTTATGTGTGTGTGGTTTGCGTGTGTGTGGCATACGTACACGGTTGATCTTGTGCCCTGGCTCTATCCTGGCGTGGTGGTTCCAGACTTTGGTGAGTGCGTTCCATGGCCTCGTCGGAGTGCACAGCAAGTGTGTGTGTGTGTGTGCGCAGACCAGGGGCTGCAGGCCAGGGGCTGCACGTCGGGACCCCCGCCCCCACCCCCAAGAAACACACGGACACAATGCATCGTCGCTTCCCCGGAAAAAAAATCTGGAAAACTATGGGAAGTGTTGGGGGAGGGAAACACCCCCCCCAGAAACTATGGAGAATCCCTATATGTGTGTATATTCATTTGTCCCCGAATCAAAATTATTATTCGTATATTCATTTGTGTGTATATGTGCCCCTTTATTTGTGTATGTATGTTTTTGTGTGTATTTGTCTGGGAAGACACAACCCAGAAATTATCCCGACAAAGCAACCTAACAGCGATGTGTAGGAGCATATCTGGAAGCATTCCCCTTAAGGTTCAGATGAGAATCCTGTTGTAGAATTCTGCTGTTCTCGCAGTCGAAGTCGCATTCGCGATGGCAGTCGCAGTGGCAACGGCAGTCGCAGTCACAGCCTCAGCCTCAGCCTGCCTCAGCCTCAGCCTCAGCCTGCCTCAGCCTCAGCCTGCCTCAGCCTCAGCCTCAGCCTGCTTCAGCCTCAGCCTCAGTCTGCCTTCAGCCTCGGCCTCAGCCTCAGCCTGCCTCAGCCTCAGCCTGCATCAGCCTCAGCCTCAGCCTCAGCCTGCCTCAGCCTCAGCCTGCCTCAGCCTCAGCCTCAGCCTGCCTCAGCCTCAGCCTCAGCCTGCTTCAGCCTCAGCTCAGTCTGCCTTCAGCCTCGGCCTCAGCCTCAGCCTGCCTCAGCCTCAGCCTGCATCAGCCTCAGCCTCAGCCTCAGCCTGCCTCAGCATCAGCCCTCAGCCTCAGCCTCAGCCTGCCTCAGCCTCAGCCTCAGCCTCAGCCTCAGCCTCAGCCTCAGCCTTCAGCCTCAGCCTCAGCCTCAGCCTCAGCCTCAGCCTCAGCCTCAGCCTCAGCCTCAGCCTCAGCCTCAGCCTCAGCCTCAGCCTGCCTCAGCCTCAGCCTCAGCCTCAGCCTCAGCCAGCCTCAGCCTCAGCCTGCCTCAGCCTCAGCCTCATCAGCCTCAGCCTCAGCCTCAGCCTCAGCCTCAGCCTGCCTCAGCCTCGGCCTCAGCCTCAGCCTGCCTCAGCCTCAGCCTGCATCAGCCTCAGCCTCAGCCTCAGCCTGCCTCAGCATCAGCCTGCCTCAGCCTCAGCCTCAGCCTGCCTCAGCCTCAGCCTCAGCCTGCTTCAGCCTCAGCCTCAGTCTGCCTCAGCCTCGGCCTCAGCCTCAGCCTGCCTCAGCCTCAGCCTGCCTCAGCCTCAGCCTCAGCCTGCCTCAGCAGCCTCAGCCTGCTTCAGCCTCAGCCTCAGCCTGCCTCAGCCTCGCCTCAGCCTCAGCCTCAGCCTCAGCCTGCATCAGCCTCAGCCTGCATCAGCCTCAGCCTCAGCCTCAGCCTGCCTCAGCCTCAGCCTGCCTCAGCCTCAGCCTCTGCCTGCCTCAGCCTCAGCCTCAGCCTGCTTCAGCCTCAGCCTCAGTCTGCCTTCAGCCTCGGCCTCAGCCTCAGCCTGCATCAGCCTCAGCCTGCATCAGCCTCAGTCTCAGCCTCAGCCTGCCTCAGCATCAGCCTGCCTCAGCCTCAGCCTCAGCCTGCCTCAGCCTCAGCCTCAGCCTGCTTCAGCCTCACCCTCAGTCTGCCTTCAGCCTCGGCCTCAGCCTCAGCCTCAGCCTCAGCCTCAGCCTCAGCCTCAGCTTCAGCCTGCCTCAGCCTCAGCCTCAGTCGGCCTTCAGCCTCGGTCTCAGCGCGCCTCAGCCTCAGCCTGCATCAGCCTCAGCCTCAGCCTCAGCCTGCCTCAGCATCAGCCTGCCTCAGCCTCCGCCTCAGCCTGCCTCAGCCTGAGCCTCAGCCTGCTTCAGCCTCAGCCTCAGCCTCAGTCTGCCTTCAGCATTCAAAATGTGGCTTGGGAGTGGAGTTATGGGATCTCGAAGAACACGAAGTGGCCTACAGTTGGCTCCGGGCATTCAACATCATGCCCAGGAATAAAGTTCTGGGAACTCGAAGACCACGAATTGGCCTACAGTTGGCTCCGGGCATTCAGAATGTGGCCCGGGAATGGAGTTCTGGAACCTCGAAGACCACGAAGTGTGCATCTGTTGGTGGAAAAAATCCCCGGCACCCTCCCCCGGATCGCGCCCAGACCCCCCTTTGGGGCGTCATGATGCTCTCTCTTTTGACCCTATTCTAGAAACCTACCAGTCTTCGCTGTTAGGTAAATTTTGGGAAACGCAGTGTCTCAGAGCCCCGAATCATCAGGGGTAACTCGGGTCAGGGATAACTCGGGTTCGTTTTTCGGGAATCCAAACCCGAGTTACCCCGGACCCGAGTTACCCCGGATAAATCGGGCGTCCAAGAGCCCCGAATCATCAGGGGTAACTCGGGTCAGGGATAACTCGGGTTCCTTTTTCGGGAATCCAAACCCGAGTTACCCCGGACCCGAGTTATCCCGGATAACTCGGGCGCCCAAGTGTCCCAGGGCCACATTCAGTCCAGGGCGCCCCCGCCTCGCCCGCCCGCCGCGCCCCGGGCCCGCCCCGGCGGGTCCGCCGCGCCCTGCCGGCGGCCGCCCGACGCCGCCGCCCTCCCGCGGCGATCGGTCGGGCCGCGCCGCGCCTCCGAGGGGGACGGAGCTGCGCGGCCCCGTCCGGACGCGCCACGGCGGCTCCCGCCCCACGTGCCGGGGCCCCCTCCTCCGCCTCCTCCTCCTCCTCCTCCTCCTCCTCCTCCCTAGCTCCTCCTCCTCCTCCTCCTCCTCCTAGCTCCTCCTCCTCCTCCTCCTCCTCCTCCTCCTCCTCTCCTCCTCCTCCTCCTCCTCCTCCTCCTCCTCCTTCCTCCTCCCCCTCCTCCTCCTCCTCCTCCTCGGTCGGCGCCGCCGGGATCGGCGGGGTACTACGCGGAGCCGGGGACCAGGCCGCAGGACGGGCGGAGGCGGGAGGGGTCGCACTTCTCCCCGGGGGGGGGGGGGGTAGGCTGTTGTGGGACTGTGCCCCTCCCCTCCTCCTCTCTTCCTTCTTCTCGTCTCCTCCCCCCCTCTTCTCTCCTCTCCCTCGGGTTCACAGTTCCCACGGTGGTTCACCCCCCCGCTGGGGTCGAGGCCGAGGGGCCCGTGGCGGCGCGCGAAGCGCGCTGCCGCCGTGAGTCACTCGGCGGTTGATTTTTCAGCTGCGTGCACTCGTGAAATGCGAACCTTGTCGCCCAGGCAAGACCTGGGGCAGGATGCGCTTTGTTTCGTCGCCACGGTGCAGATTTCGCAGCTGTGGGGATCAGGGCAGCGAAATCCAGCTGAATTATCCTCCTCGTCCTCCTCTTCCTCCTCCTCCTCCTCCTCCTCCTCCTCCTCCTCCTCCTCCTCCTCCTCCTCCTCCTCCTCCTCCTCCTCCTCCTCCCTCCTCCCCCCTCTCTCCTCCTCCTCCTCCTCCTCCTTCCTCCTCCTTTTCCTCCTCCTCTTCCTCCTCCTCCTCCTTCTCGTCCTCCTCCTCCTCCTCCTCCCCGGCCCCCGCGGCGGCGGCCAGTGCTCCGGAGAGCGCGGAGCGCCAGCGCCGCCGCCGCGGGGGGAACGCGGATCGCGGCGGTTGGTGTTTCAGCTGCGCGCCGTTTTGCAGGAGGCCCCCTCGAAACCTCAGACGAGGGGGGGTCTCGATTGTCGTCGGTTTTGCATTCGTGCTCATTGCGGAGCAGATTGTGCAACATTCAGGTAACATCTTCCCCCTCCTCCTCCTCCTCCTCCTCCTCCTCCTCCTCCTCCTCCTCCTCCTCTTCCTACGACTGCTACCCTATACTCCTACTCATACTCGTACTCCTACGTTACTCCTACTCTTACTCGTACTCCTAATCCTGCGTGCTCCTCCTCCTCCTGTCTCCTCCTTTTCGTCCTCATCCTCCTCCTCCTCCTCCTCCTCCTCAACCTCTCCCCCCTTGCGTGTCAGACGCGCCTGTCGTTGATCGGCGGCGACTTCCCAACCCTGCGCGGCCGCGCCGGGCAGGGCGTGGCCCCCTCTTCGCGCGTTGCGCGCGCGGGGGGAGGGGCGGAGTTCATTGGCGCAACGAGCGGGGGCTGCGGGGCAGGCTGCACGGGCGCGCTAAGTTCGGCGGCGAGCGACGGGGGGGAGAGAAGGAACAGTTTTTTTTGGGGGGGGCAGAAAGCGGCGGGACTTTTCAGACGCCCTTGCGTCTTCTGAAGAGTTGTCTGCGTTTTCGGGGAAGGGGTTTATCATACTTCTCCGAAAGCCGGGGGATTTCCGAGCCTTCTGAGCAGGCCCGCCCGTGAGCCCAGGAAACCCGCGAGGTCCTGGTCCAACGAGTATCAGGCACCCACAGCGACGACGCCCCGTGCCAGGAGGTCACCCACTCGGCGTCGCGGGCCCAGGTCATGAGTCGCGGCCCGACCGACATGGGCCCGCCAACCCCAGCTAACATCCAGCGCCTTCTTCCAGAAGCTCTTCGACGCCACTCCCCAATGGGATCGTCCCAGCGCCAGCCCCAACTCCCG